ATTAAAACCATGCATCACATTCAACAACATTCATCAAACACAAAGTTGGCCATAATAGTGGACTAAACTAATTTCTGCAAAACTGAGTTATGCGAATATAATCTAATATATATGGTTGCGTTTGAACACATCTTGTCAAATAAAGCCGTAAAAATTTGAACTTGTACAAAACGAATTAAACCAAGTGCTCTAACACCACTTGTTGGGATCTATGAGAATCTCGTTATGTACTAATCACGAATTCAATAGCAAACGTAAACCTATGCGCAGCGGATCTAAAGTTTTGATGTAGAAAACTTACGGCTTAAAATTTATGGCGATCTGGCTGATCTTCTAGATGGTCGTACACAACACACCAATGAAAAGTTGACTGCAAATCACGTCTTAGGATTGCACGAGCAAGATCGGATCGAAAAACGGATCAAACGGGTGCAAAACGGATGAAGACAAGCTTGCAGTCCTGGGACCTTTCGGTGGCACGTGAGGACGCGTGCGGCGTCGGACGGCGGAGATCTCATCGGTGATGGAAAGCTCTTGTCCAAACGGTCGCCTAGGTGTCTGGGTATGTTACACGCCTTGATCGGACCTCCAGTTAGTTGTGTACGATAAAATATACTTCATCTCGATTTACCTACAGATCTTCTACTATATATCTCAAACACCTCTTAATCTTGTACCGGTGCAACAACAAGAAGAAGATAAAGCTCGAATGGAAACTAAGAGGGAGATGAGAGGCGGCGGTTATTGGCGTGAATAATGATTCATGTTCTCTTTCCATGAGCTTAATGATGTATGTATAGAGCTATAGTAAGGACCCTTAGGAGATTAGGATTAGGGCTTCTTAATTAATTAAAGTACTTGTGAACCAATCCACTTATTTTAATTAATTAAATATTATTAAATTAGCCACCAACATAATATTATTGCACTCCCTTTTCCTAGCCAATTTACAATGGAGACTCCAATAATAATTACTCGATTTATCTCCTCATGTTTAAGATATAATGTCTATTAATTAATTCGATTACTGACAATCAAGAATTAATTAATTTTATTATTATTTTACCGAAGCTAGCGCTCGTTCATCACATTCATACTATGCCATGGAATTTAATCCACCTGCAGGGTTTAGCATAATAATCCTTCATGAACTCACTCCGGGGACAACATCAAACTAACGCACATGGTGACCGTAAATATCCTAACAACACATCCTACATGCAGCAATATTACCCAAGATAACGGGTCTATTGGCCCAGTTCACTAAGCCTCACCCATGTGAATCAAAGAAATAAGTACTACACATATATGCCTATTTAATATCTTACAGGTTAAGAGCACGTAGTAATAAACCGAGGCCTAGTTCGTTTACGACGATTAGTATAAAACGAATTGCTCCTCTCTGGGATCATGTTCATTACATAAATGTACTAGTGCAACTAATCAGTCAAGACAAACTGTACGGTTGACACTACAACCGTTCACGATGGGGTGTTCATGTCCATCTGAGTTGTGAACCACTTATTCTTGTTTCGCGAGTAACTGATAGTATGATCTCCGGTTCACCCGATGACGACCCACACTATCAAATGCAAAACAACAGAACGTAGAACTTATTTAATCTAACGTGCTTCTCATTCATAAAGTGTAAAATTGTAATATCATCCAAAGCCAATGTTTCAGTATATAACACTAACACCGAGGATGTTTGATGACTTCAAGAGAGCTATGGCGAAGGAGTTTGAGATGACTTATATTGGGTTGATGTCCTATTACCTTGGCATTGAAGTGAAACAAAAAGACGATTGGATATTTATTTTGCAAGAAACTTATGCAAAAGAAATCCTCAAGAAATTGAGATGGAGCATTGCAAACCCGTCTACTCCCGTAGAATGTGGAGTGAAATTATCTTTGCATGAGGAAGGTGAGAAAATTAATTCCACATA